TGAGAAGATTGGAGAGGGGGACCCTACCCAGAGAGGCAGTGGCGCTAGGGATGGAGCCAGAGAAGATGACGTGGACAGATGGAGCGGCTGGTGACGCTGGACTCAGGGAGGGAGAAGGGTTTTCTGCTGGCGGCCGGAGGGTGGGCCTGTGTGGTGTGCCCTTTAGTTACTTGATGATGCATGGAGAGGATTGTAATCATTGCAATGAAATGAAATTTGATAGGATTAGTGTAAAGCTGATATTCTCCCATGTAAACCCATGTTAAAAACTTAAAAAACCATTACACCAAGCAAACTGTCTCTCAAATACAATGGTGGAATTAGAATATTTCCAAAAAATCAGAAAGGAATTTTTTTAAAAAATACCAACTTTACAAAAAAATACTTAAGTATTTTTGAACTGAGAACCGACAACAGCCAGAGATTGACAAAGGGTAATACCACCCAGAATTCCATTCAGATATAGAAGTATCCAGAGGAAAATAAAACTGAGACTGAAAATAGGCAATCAGAGACACTAATCAATAGTGAAGTCGACTACAAAGCAAAAAGAAGGAAAAATATAGAATTCCAAATAGCAAGGAAGTCAAGTAAATTTCAAGATAAAACAGACTGTTTTAAAATGAGGAAGAAATTAATATCCCTTCACATCAAATCAAGAAAAGGAAAATTCATGAAGATTTTGTGAACATTACAACTACGAGAAACTTGACCAGAAAAAGCACAAAAAATATGAACTTAGCAAAGGAAAACATGTGGAATAAAGAAACCAGCAGCACAAAAAAACACATAGCAAAATAACTGCAATTTTTTCATACCTATTGATAAGAACCCTGCAAAATGCTGTTTATAAGAGACAAACCTCACACACAAAGACAAGCATAGATTAAAAATTAAAGGACGGAAAAAATGTATCAAGCTAATAGCAATCAGAAATAAGCAGGAGTGGCAACATGAATTTCTTATAAAATAGACTTTAAAAGCAAAACCAGCATAAGAGACAAAGAAGGACATTATCTCAAGATTAAAGGATCAACTTGACCAAGAGGACATAATCATAATCAATATCTATGCTCCCAATGAAAGAGCCCCAAAATACATAAATCAAACCCAAATAGAATTGAAGAAAGAATAGACAAATCTACAATAATAGTTTCAGATTTTTATACACCACTTTCAAAAAAGGACAGAATAACTAGAAAGAAACTCAACAAAGACAGAGGACTAGACAACACAATCAACCAACTGGACCACATAGATTTGTACAGAGCATTCAACCTAACAAGCACAATACACATTCTTCTCCAATGCACATGGAACAGTCTCCAGAATAGACCATGTGTTAGGCCTCAAGGCAAGTCTCCATGAATTTTAAAACATCAACATACTACAAAGCATTTTCTCAGATAACAATGCTATAGAATTAGAAACTAACAATGGGAAGATCAAGGAAATAAAACCAAATACACAAAAACTGAATACACCCTGCTTTAAAGATATTGTGTAGTAATACAAATAAAAATGAAAATTTAAAATTCCTAGAAACAAATAAGAACAAAAACACAACATACCAAAAGCCTTTGGGACACAGTAAAAGCAGTGCTGAGAGAGCAACTTATAGCGTAAATGCACACATCCAAAAAGGAGAAAGAACCAAAATCAACACATAAACACAACATCTCCTAAAATTACCAAAAACTTCAGCAAAGTAAGTCACCAGAAGAAAATAAAGATTAGAGCAGGAATAATGTATTAGAAAACAGGGAAACAATAGAAAGATTAAAAAAAGACAAGAAGTTGCTTCTTTGAAAGTTGTTAATAAAATTGACAAAACATTGGTAAATCTAACAAAAGAAAAAGAGGGTAAAGATGCAAATAACACACATAAGAAATGATATGGTAGCGTCAAAAAAGAACCAGTGGAAATAGAATAATACAAAAGGAGCTCTGGTAGCGCGTAGTGGTTACAAATCAGGCTGCGAACCTTAAGGTCAGCAGTTTGAAACTACCAGCTGCTCCGCGGGAGAAAGATGAGGCTTTCTGCTCCCGTAAAGATTTACACCCTCGGAAACCCTGTACAGGGTCGCTATGGGTCGGAACCGACTCCATGGCACTTAACAACAACAACAACATGAAGAGTTGTATTCCAATAAATTGAAAGTCTAGAAGAAAGTGGTACATTTTTAGAAAAACACAATCTACCTAAACACAGAGTAAAGTAGAAAAATTGAACAGACATATAATAAAAAAGAAGAAATTGATCAGGTCACTAAAAACTCCCAACAAGAAAAAGTCCAGGCCAGATTATTTTACCAAATATTCAGAAAAGAGTTCACACCAATTTTACTCAAACTATTCCAGAACAGAGAAAATGATGGACCCAGATAACTTCACTGGTGAATTTTACCAAATATTCAGAGAAGAGCTGTGACCAAGACCCATATGTCACATCATATACAAATGCAAACTCAACATGGATTAGACTAAATGTAAAACAAATACATATATATACATATATATACATCATATACAAATGCAAACTCAACATGGATTAGACTAAATGTAAAACAAATACATATATATAAAAGGACAATTTTAAGGGCTCTAATATATGACAAAGGAGCTCTGGTAGCGTAGTGGTTATGAATTGGACTGCGACTGCAAGGTCAGCAGTTTGAAACTACCAGCTGTTCCACGGGAGAAAGATGAAGCTTTCAGCTCCCATAATGATATACAGCCTCAGAAACCCTATACAGGGTCGCTACAAGTTGGAATTGACTCCACAGCACATAACAACAACAACAATATATGACAAAGATTGCACAAACAAGAGAAGACAAAGTGGATAACTGGGACCTCCTAAAAATTAGACACTTATGTACATCAAAAGATTTTGCCTAAAAAGTAAAAAGGGAGTTTAAAGATTGGGGAAAATTTTTTGCAACAACACCAGAAAAGGAACTAATATCTAAAATTTATAGAAAACTACACCTCTACAAAAAAAAGACAACCCAATTCAAAAATAGGCATAGGCCATGAACAGCACTTCATCAAAGAAAACATTCAGGCAGTCAACAACAAAAAAAGAAATGTTCACGATCATTAGCCATTGTTGTTAAGTGCTGTCGAGTTGGGTCCAACCCATAGAGACTCTGTATAGGGTTTCCTAGGAGTGGCTGGTGAGCTTGAACTACCGACCTTGCGGTTCAAATGACTTTGCAGTTCAACACATTAACCCACAGCACCGTACCATTAGAGAAATGTAAATCAAAACAACAAAGAAATATTGTCTCACACCACCATTAACAGTGAAGTTCAAAAAACCAGAAAACAACAAATCCTGATAAGAGTGTGGAGAGACTGGGACCCTCCTACATCACTGTGGGCATGTAAAACAGTTCAACTACTGTAGATAATGGTATGGTGCTTCCTCAGATACTTGGAAGTGTATTCACAAGAAATACAAGCCAAGACATGAGTAGATATAAGCACACTGATGTTCATCACAGCACTATTGACAATACCAAAAAGATAGATACAGTATTAAAAAGCCCATCAATGGAAGAATGGATAAACAAACTTTGGTTCATGCACACAGTGGAATCCTATGCAATGTTCAAGAATAATGATGATTCTGTGAAACAGCTGATAACTTGGATGAACCTCATGGACATAATGCTGAGTGAAATTTGTCAATCACAGGACACATATTGTCTGAGACCACTATTGTATAAAAGGTTTTTCCACTAAAATAAACACTCTTTGATGGTTATCAGGGGTGGGAAGGAAGGGAGAGCAATTCGTTGACTAAAAGGTAGACAAATGTTAGCTCAGATGACAGGGAAGGCAATATACATATTGTTAAGTGCTGTCAAATCGGCTCTAACTCATTATCAACACTGTACATGGTTTCGGAGGAGTGGCTGGTGGGTTTGAATATACACGAAGGCAAGGACAATATACAAGAAGAGGGAGGGTGGCAGAAGAATGATAAAGATTAGTGAAGACACAGGGAAGTGTGCATGGGCTAAAGGGGGTAGAAGTAAATGGTAATATATATACAACCTTGGAACTTCAGTGTCTGTGCATATGATTGAAACATAGGCTGAATGGGTAATGGAGGAAAAGTGGGATTTATATGCATATATTTATATATCCCACAAGTATATGAATTTGAAAGAGTATATTTGTTTATGAGTACCTACCTTTCCTACAAACACAGCTATAAATGTGGTCGGGCAGACCAAGAAAACTAATTAGCTTGAGGTTTCTTATGTTTGTTTAGTACATAGCTAGGAAGCACAAACAGCATTTTTCTGTTGCTAAATTTGAGTCATAATCACAAATATAATTTCTTTGTTTTTTCTCGTAGACTCTTACAACCACAGGGTGCCATTACACAAGCCTACAGATTGGGAGAGGAAGATCCTGATATGGTCAGGTCGCTTCAAAAAGGAAGAAGAAATCCCAGAGACGATCTCGTGAGTTCTGTACTTGGGACCGTAAGCTGCTTTCACCCTTCACTGGTCTGATTTAAAGGCCCCAGAGGGGTGCAGATGTTTTGAGCTCAACTACTAACCTAAAAAGGAGTTCTGGTATCGTAGTGGTTACAAATCGGGCTGCGAACTGCAAGGTCAGCAGTTCAAAACTATCAGCCGTTCTGCAGGAGATGAGGCTTTCTGCTCCCGTAAAGATTTATAGCCTCGGAAATCCTGTATAGGGTCGCTATAAGTCGGAACCAACTCCACGGCACATAACCACCATCAGCACCACTACTCACCTAAAAGTTTGAAGTTCAGTCTCACCCAGCAGCACCTCGGAAGAAAGTCCTAATTATCAGCTTCCGTAAAGGCTACAACCAAGGAACCCCTAGATAGCAGTTTGACTCTGACACACGTGGGGTTGCTGAGAGTTGGAATCAACTGAAGGAAATTGGGTTTTTGGAAAAGCTGTTTTCTCTGAGTTTCTGCTTTCTTGAAACCTTTCAACCAATTATTTTTTTTATTTCTGTAGATGTTTCCTCTTTGGCAAGTACCTAGAATAAGAACAGTACTAGACAATCTATATCTTAGGATCATCATGGCATTTAGTGCCTAATGAGGGGCTGTCAGGTTCTCTGAAATCAACTGATGGAGTTAACCTCCTAGCTGCAGAAATGTGGTTCAGTGATGATCACTTTTTTGTTTTTAATTTAAAATAAATTAGGCACCACTGACAATAACTATTGTATACAAAATCCTCTCAAGTACTCCGCGTTAGACATAAAAGTATTTCAGTGCAGCACAATCTTTTTCTGGGACCTAGGGAAGAATGGTTCCTGTCACCATCTTCCTTAAAACCAGCTCTGGCTGAGATCTTGAGAATTTGTCAGCATTTGTAGATGCTGAGTATAGGATCCTCCAACCTTGGGTTTCTCGGCCTCAGCACTACTGACAGATTGGACCAGATCATTCTTTGTTGTGGGGGCTGCTCCTGTGCAGCACCCCTGGCTTCTACCCACTAGATGACAGTACCACTCCCTCAGTCATGGCAGTTAAAATGTGTCTAGACAATGCCAAACCAGAGGGTGCAGGAAGAGTTTCTTCCTGCAAGGGAACTTCCAGGAGCTCTGTCCAAAATCCCTATCTCTGAATAGGCGGATGCCCCACAGGGAATATGGAGGCTTTCTCAGAATTTCTCCTGGCTAACGTGGCCACCATTCAGAGCCTTTAGCATCAGCACCAGTGCTTCTCAGACTGAGGTGATTCTGCCCACCTCTAGACTTCATTACCTCACTGAAATGTGTTTTGCTTTTTTAATGTTCCCTCAAATCGAAACTGTATCACTTTTCATGGGGATCACAGTACTTCAGTTAGGAATGGCAGTTCACATAAAAGATTGTCAACGTGAGTGGTTAGTTTGTGGTTGGTGGGCTCTCAGCTGTTTCTAACTGAGCTGTCCACTGAGCTGAGCAGTTGTTCTGGTTCCTGCCACCCTGTGGGCCCAGCATCTGTACCTGTGCTATCCATTCTGCTGTCTCACCGGGTCCCAGCTCTATGTCACACTGTATATGTTTCAGGGTCCTCTCCCTCTGCACCTTCTCTCACAAACTGACCCAGATTTCAAATGTAATTTGTGTTTAAATCTGGAAAATACAAAGAAGCTGAAAGCACTGCAGCCCTTTCATCTAGAGATAATTATTTCTGAGTAGGCCAGAAGTTCTCTATCTGGGTCCCATTAAAACTCCATATGTCTGCCTGGAGGCGCCGGCCAGACACGTAGTAATGGAAGCATGACCCACAGAAGTGGCCTTTCAGCTTACCTGCCCCATCACCAAGCTGAAGTAGCCTTTTCTTTAGGCTGTTCTTGGTTAGGCTTCTTAACTTTCACACAAGAATGATATTCCAACTCTTCACTTTCTGTTAAAGCACACGGGTCTGTAGCCAGCAGACAGTTTGGAAGAACAACACATAAAACACTTGCCAAAGAGCATGACCTCAAGTTCACTGCCAGTTTTAGCAAAACATTAGTTCAAAGTGCTAATGATCTTTCCATTGTCCCAGATAGTCTAAAATCTATTGCTAGTTCAAAACAGAATATAAAAAGCTCATTCTATATAGAGGACATGTTGAGTGTTCTTTGTGTGTATTTCCCTCCTGAATTGTGCTTTGTGTTGAAAAGTAGGAAGCTCATTGCAGTATTTTTGTAGGGTATTGTTCAGACGATCCTTATGTTGCATATCTTCTTCCTGATAACTCCAGGGAGAAATAGCTGCTGGTTTTCTCAGAACATTATAGATTGTATACCTATCAGGCTTCACCAGCTGCTCCTTGGAAACCCTATATACTATGAGTTGGAACCGACTCAACAGCACTTCACAGCAACAACATCCAGCTTCAGTTTTAACATTGGCTGCTAGAAACCTTAAAGTCAAAACTAGAGCCCCCATAGCAAATGCAAATGAATATAATATGCCTAGCCTTTGTTTTGTTTTGGCCTTGTTCCTGATTTACCTTTTCTGTCTTCACACTTTCCTCTTAAAGCTTTCATCTTCCTCTAGATTTGTGCTATTTTATTGTATAGAGTCCTGGTATGGTGCTGTAGCATAAGCACCGGACTGCCAACAACAAGATCCATGGTTCAAACCCACCAGCTGCTCTTTGAAAATGCTGTACTCAGTTGATATGAGTTGGAACTGACTCAGCAACACTTAACATCTTACTGCATTTTATATATGATGTGGAAATGCCCCATTCTTCCCCAAGGTCCTACAAGATCTCCAATCACTTCTAGTATGTGGTGCAGAGCATTGTATCCTGCTGGTGATCTCAGAAAGAGACGTTTGTAACTTTCTCCCGTGATCTCATTGTATTAGGTTTGAGATGCTTGATGCTGCAAAGAACAAGATCCGGGTGAAGATCAGCTATCTAATGATCGCCCTGACAGTGGCAGGATGCATTTTCATGGTGATTGAGGGAAAGAAGGTGAGTGTGGCCTAACTCTCTTCCTCCATGGAATGAAAAAACATAGACGAAATCAGGGGATGACTCTTGTACATACTCAGAGAATAGGAAGTCATTTTCTGCATGAAAATGGATCAGAAAACAAAGCTGCTAGGGATAAATCTGTGGTAATGGACTTGGGGGTAAATAACAGATCACCACCAAATTTGGTATGGTGGTGACAGACTAAATTAGTTTTGCGTAAAGAAAAAACAAAATTGTTCCATTACTACAGATGTCATAAATACTGTGAAACAAGAATTGATACTGACATATTTAATAACCCCCGTGCATGTTTCTACAGTGCCCTCAGTGCATGAGCTTATCCAGCCTCACCTTAATCTGGGTTGTAGTTGTAGTAGTTATGTGCCGTTGAGTCGGTTCCAACTCATAGTGACCCTGTATAGGGTTTCCAAGGCTCTAAATCTTTACAGGAGCAGTAAGTCTCATCTTTCTCCCGTGGAACAGCTGGTAGTTTTGAACTGCTGACCATGAGATTAGCAGACCGATTGGTAATCACTACGCTACCAGAGCTCCCTTTAATCTGGGTGGCCATTATTAACACTGTTCTATACTTGAAGCTCAAACTGGTCAAACTGGTAAATGCTCCTGGAACAGAGTGCTTTTGAACTTCACTGTGATTTAAGAGAATGTAGCCATTGTATGTTTTGTCCTCCTCACTAACAACTTCCTATCTTCCTCCTCAAACTGAATTCTGAACATGTGAGATGACAGATAAAAGAAAATATCCATATATAGGGTGTTAGTTTCACTTCTTTGGTAGTAAGAGTTCTGAAACTGGCCTATCTTGGTTAAATCTTACAGAAATGTAACCGCACTCACATGGAGGAGAACAAGGGCAGAGGATGGTTGCCTCTCCCTTCCCCCACTGCTGTCTGCTCTCCAAGGATAGACTATTAGGATAGAGACTGCCGAAGTCACTGGTGGTGGCATTTTGGTAAAGTTTAGGATCCCCAAAGCTGAATGTTTTTGATAAGAAAGGAGTAGGAGCTAGACGGGTTTGAGAGTGTACAAATGGGAAGAAATTAATGGCCGCAGTGAAGGACAGTGAAAGGACAATAGGGATAGAAATGAAAACCAGAATGACTTGCCACTAACGAGAGAGGAAAACAAGGGATAAGGTATAAGAGGGGGTCCTGGTGTGGCGCTATGGGGGGTAAAGCACTGGACTACAAGGTTGGTTTGAACCACAAGGTCAGCGGTTCAAACTCACCAGCCATTCCTTGGGAACCCTACACAGAGTCGCTATGAGTCGGAACCCCGACTTGACAGCACTTTACAACAACAAGGTCTGTATAAGGGAAGAAGAAAGGGGGCTGGCAGGATGAGACAGCAGAGGAAGAGGAGTGGCATTTCTTGTGTTGGACTGGCTGCTGTGGCCTGCTTAACCTACTGTCGTCACGTGAGGGCCTGACATCGCATCACCCCTCAAATGGGCACAAATAATCACCTGTTAAAATGTGCTTCCCTTTAGGCTGTCAGAAGAAATGAGTCGTTAACAAGCATGAATTTAGAAAAGAAAGCTCGCCTGAGAGAGGAAGCAGCAATGAAGGCCAAAGCAGAGTAGCAGAAGTATCCAGAGTGCCTGCATTTTGAAAATCCAGGAGTAATGTTGCAACCACAAGTCTATGTTGAAAAGGATGTGGTACGAGGATGCATTTCATGAAAGTATTGTTTGCACAGACTTACCTATTTCTGCTCTAGAGGTACAAATAAATTTTCTTAAAGAACCACTTGCCTGTGTTTATGGCTTTGATCCAAGTAAAAGGCAGCCGCTTAGCTTTTTGGGAAAAATTAAAGAATGAAAAATGAGACAACTTATTTCAACTTTAACTCTTTTTAGTCAAGTAGCAATGCTTTTATTCCTATTTCCAAAGTGATTTCTCCCAAAAGGCCACAATGCTGTCTAGTTCTTCGACGGCACCAACCACTGTGCTTGTCTACTAACTGTACTAACTGAAAGGTTGGCTGTTGAAACTCACCCAGTAATACTATGGAAGGCAAGCCTGGCACTCTCATGAAGATTAGAGCCATGGAAACCCCATGGAGCAGCATTCCTGCTCTGTTACACACCAGCTCACTGGGGCTTGGCATCAACTTGACAGCAACGGGTTTGCTTTTTCTTCCATGGACTTGTTTCTGGAGCCATCAGACCTCCCAGGTGAGGACACTGCCCAGATCCACATTGAAGATGTCCTCCCCCCATGCCATGAGGCTTCGTAAAGGCCTGGTAAGCAGCCATACCACACTTCTGTCATCGTACGGCATGCTGGCAGACAGAGGATGCTAGGAGGGCAGTTTCTGAGTAAGTGTTGGCAAGGTGATGAATCTCTAGACTTAGAAATCCTAGTGATATGACATTATTTGGGGCAAGCAGGCACTTCTTCTGTACCATGACTAAGAATTCCCAACTCGTTCTTTTCTTGCAGCTTTTACACAAAATTTCAATTGTGAAAATCGCTCTAATATATTTTCTTATTGTAGTAGTGTTGAAAGATGAACATTTGCACCTGGTCTGTATGTCGTTTTTAGTTTGACTTACCGTCTCATATTTAGGTACGGATACTGGTTTCTGTTTTACATATTTCACTTACTCTCACCTGCTTCGTGAGTATTAATGGGTGACAAGTCCTCACAGCCATGCCGTCTTGCAGTTCTCCCCAGGTCACTGTAGAGGAACTTGGTTTAATGAAATAGTAAAATGCAATGCTCTACTCTGCCAATAACTTGATAATCTGATAACATTGTAAATGATATCTGTCATGTATACTTCAGAGTAAAGAGTCACTTGACTTTCTGTAAAGATGAAATTATTTGATTTTTATCACTTGCAAAGCTACCATCAAAAGGCATCATTTTGTGTCCATCTTAGCACATTACATTTTCTTGCTTATTTGGGAACATTTATATTGTATCTTACTTAATTAGAACTGGGTACAGTTTAAAAATAAGCAGGCTTTCTTCACAGAATACTATTTTTAATTTCTGAAGAGGCATTTGAAAGTGATGTAGCTTAAAGACCTGCTGTAATGTTTCATTAAACGAAAGCTCACAAATGTTACCATACAAGATTTCTAGTCATTTCTCATTAACTACCAGCCGTTCCGTGGGAGAAAGATGAGGCTTTTGGCTCCCGTAAAGATTTACAGCCTCGGAAACACTACGAAGGGTCACTATGAGCTGGAAACAACTCCATGGCACACCACCATCGCCACCACCACTTTTTTTTATGGGTTCAACAGTAATATCCGGGCCAGGATTTCAGAGCTGCCCTAGCTAATCCCCTATCACAGCTCCCTCACATGTCAGCCTCCCAGCAGTCATTCTGTACTAATACCTCTAGTGTCTTATAGTCCTCAGCATTTACCAAGCCGGTCAAACTGGATGAGCACTATTCTAAGGGACTATGGAAGACACAACAAATAAGTGTTTTCCTTCATTGTTTTCAGTTAAATTCGTCTTATAAAGTTTTGCTTACTTTCTAACTTTTGTACATATTTATCATGTCTCCATAGGTACAGTGAGTTGAAACTTTACTATTTTATATTTTCTATAAGCCTATATGGCATTCTGGTAGGATATGCACTGGACTGCTAACCACAACGTCGACAGTTCAAACTCACCAGCTGCTCCTTGGAAACCCTACACCAGGTCGCTATGAGTTAGAACTGACTCAACTACACTTAAAATGTAAAAGCCTATATGTTCCTATAAGTTACTATTTGAGGATACAGTCACAGGATATAGTTTATTTTTAATCAACAAAAAGTTTACAAATGTATTACTACGATTTCTTGAGATTGGAGAAGGAAGGAATGAAAGCTGTGATGGTATCATTCACTGTCATTTATCAAGCATTAGTTGAGTCCCTTCGTTATGTAAAAACTGTAACCTACAGAGATGAATACAACATACTTCCTAACTCCACAGAGTGTACCTTCTAGTGGAAACATGGCCTGCAAAACAATTACAATACAAACAGGTAAACAATATCTTTTGCATAAACAGAAGCTATCGAAAGAGAAAAAACCTAGCTTGGCTATCCCCTGTGGTTGTATAGGCAGGCATCACAAAGGGATGACTGCAGAGCTGTTTGAAGGTTGGGGAGGAGTTCGTTCAGAAACACACATACTGAAGGAGAGCAATCACACCACTGAGACAGCTTGCCTGAAAATCATGAGAGGGAACAGCCTGGCAAGGGAGTGAGAGATCTTTAGGAAGATGGTATTTACCTCTGGTTTCTAGTTTGGGTTTTTGTCTTGATATTAACGCAAGCCTAACCATGACTTGGTGTGGCACTATAAGGTAAGTCACTGGAGAAGGATCTCATGTTTGGTAAGGTGGAGGGTCAGAGAAAAAGAGCAAGACCCCTAGCGAGATGGATTGGCCAAGTGGCAGCATCAATGCACTCAAGTGTGGCAACAATTGTGAGGTTGGCCCAGGACCAGGCAGTGTTTCATTCTGTTGTGCATAGGGTTGCTATGAGTCGGTACTGTGGACTGCTAATCACAAGGTTGGTGGTTCAAATCCACCAGCAGCTTATTGGAAAGCCTGTATGAGAGGTCACCATGAGTCGGAACTGAATCAACAGCACTTTAACGACCATGTCTTATTTTCCATAATTTGCAGACTTGATTTCATATATGTGCTGTTCCTAAGGAGCTATGGTGGCACAGTGCTTACGAGTCGGGCTGCTAGCCTCAAGTTCAGCAGTTCGAAACTACCAGCCGTTCTGTGGGAGAAAGGTGAGGCTTTCTGCTCCCGTAAAGATTTACAGCCTTGGAAACCCTACGCAGGGTCGCTTTTGAGTCGGAACCGACTCCACAGCACATGACCACCATCACCATGTGCTGCTTCTGCCCTGTTTTGTAAGATTATTTACTTGAAGTGTGTGGGCAGTACCTGGCGTGCAGCTCCAGTCCTTCACCACCATTCTAGACTGATCTTCCAAACCAAAAATCCTGGAGTTACTCTAAAGTCCCCTGCTCTCTTCATTTAATGTTATCCTGTCTTTTCAACCTTATTTTTAAATATTTCCCAAACAAATTGATCCTCTAGAATAGTCACTGAAGGAAGCCATATAGGGACAGCCACAGAGATTAAGAACAGGCCTCAAGATTAGAAGTCAGAAGCCCCAGGTTCTACACTTGATTTTGCAGCTGTCTTGCTTTGTAAATTTATGTGAAATTTATGGCTATTTAAAATAGGGGGGGAGAGGGGGCTACAAAGGCAAGAAGTGACTGGCTTACAAATGTTCAAGAGGGTGCCTAGATCCAGAGGGCTTGAAGGAAGGTAGAATCTCCACTGAGTAGTATCCAGTCTGTCTGGGCAGGGCTGATAAAAGGATATGGGAATAGGACTCTTGTGGTACAATAGTGAGTAATTGCTAACTGGACTGCCTGGGAGGGCTGGAAATGTAAAGGTAGATGTTTTGTAGCAAAAGGAGAGGAGTGATTGACTTTTCAGTCCAGGAGCAGAGGTCCCTGGGACCATCAAGGGAGAAGAGTGGAGTGAGTGTAGGACCCTACCCAGAGAAACAGTGACACCAGAGATGGAGGCAAAGATGATGTGGAGAGATGGAGCAGCTGGGGACTCTACACCCAGAGAGGGAGAGGGGCTGTGTGCTGATGATCCGGGGGTGGGGGTGAGGGGCAGGCTTGCAAGTATATACCCTGTCCTTGGTTGATGATGCATGGAGGGGACTGTAACCATGGCAACGAAATGTTATACGATAGGATGAATGTAAAGCTAATGATCTCCCATGTAAACTATCACATAATTCACAATTATAAAACATTTTTTTTAAAAAGACAATTTGAAAAAGAAATACAAAACAGCTCAAATTCAGTAGGTTGGTGTGGTTTTTTGTTTGTTTTTTGGCTACCTTGGCTCTACTAGATTTAAAAATAGTTTAGTAGTCACTCATCCACAGTTTAACTGTTTTGTCATTTTGTAATGCTGCTGATGCAATGATGTTTTCTGTAGGATGGCAAGTTGCTGCAATCACAACGTCCGTATGACCTGGTAATTTCTGTACAATCTCTTTAGTCCGAAGATTCCAAATGTAAACCAGGTTATCCTCTGAACCAGACACAATCCACTTTCCTCCAGTAACAGAAAAATTGGCAAATACAGTATTTCTCATTCTTATGACCAGTGTAGGTCTTCAGGCACCTGCCTCTGCTATAATCCCATAGTTTAAGAGTATTGTCCAAAGTTGCAGTAAGAATATATTTTCCATTTGGAGAAAATCGTACAAAGGAGACAGGAGGGTTATCATCATCAACAAGTGTTTTTAAACACTGACCTGAAGCAACATCCCAGATTCTACAGAGTCCATCATAGCTGCCCGACACTATCAAGGACCCACTACAATTGAAATAAACAGCAGAAACGGGATCGGAATGAGCTCGCAAAGTCTTGAGGCACTTTCCCGTTTCCACTTCCCATATTTTCACACTCTCATCAAAAGATCCTGAGATGATGAGGCTGGATGGCGGATTGAAATCACAGCAAAAGACATAATTACTGTGTCCTTGTAGAGTTTTCAAAGATTTTCCAGATCTCACATCCCATATCTTTAGAGTCTTATCATCGGAGGCAGAAACAAGACGACTGGAATCTGATGACCAGGCAACATCTGATATTTCCAGACTGTGACCATACAGTGTTTGCTCACATTTTCCATCAGAGACTCTCCAGATTTTAATGAGTTTATCAGCAGAAGAACTTGCTAGCCATTCTCCATTAGGGCTAAACTTAACTGATGATACTGCTTCCGTGTGTCCCACGAGAGTAAATTTGAGAGCATAGTTGGGTTTTTCAGGCCTTTGCTTGCTTGAATTGGCGGAAGGGAAGGCGGACTCCTCCGTTGCCATGGCTCTGAAGTCCCAAGTCAGTACACTGGCTAGATGTCCTACGCTGAGCCAGCCAGTCCAGCACTGTAAATTTCTGCTCAGAAAGAGTAAGATAAAAACATTAGACTAAAAACCGCCTTTAAATCTTTATACTTTCTGGGTAGTGAACTATTCACAATACTAAGTCAGCAGCACAACTTGGACCACTTGTTTTTTACTCTCTTCTTTTGTAAATAAACACCTGAGAAATACTATTAAGAGAGTCCTGTGAGACATGGGCAACTAAGATACTAATGTTAAGAATTCTGTTAACGGGAAAAAGCGGTCAAAAGCGACAGGGTTCCGGATTTATACACAACGTCTTTATACCGCTCCTCCCCCGCTCCTTCCCCATAGCTCCGAAATTCTTTAGAACAAGGAGGCCGTCTAGTAGACAAAGGCTTTAAGTACCTGAGGGTGAATAAATCACAGCTTTAATCATTTCAGAAGTTAAGAGAAAACCTAAGTGGAACCAAAATCCACGGCCCGGGCCTGAAAGCTACAATCTGCAGAAACTCCGAACATGTCAACCACTAAGCAAGCCGGAAAAGCAGCTAAACGCATGCGCCTGGAGAGTTTTTTCAACTATCACGCACCCCCCCTCTCCCCCCCCACCCCACACCCACACCACTTCCTAACCGAAATGCCCAATCAGAGAGGCTTATGCAAAAGAAGTATTTTTCTTCCGGTTGTATTCTGCCTCGGGAATACACAAGACTGTTCTCTTGGATTAGCTGAAGGAGGGCAAAATTAAGGAGTTTGGCAGTGTATATTTAAGAGAACATTAATTTTTTTTTGATAGCTGAGTCACGAGAAAGGACAGAATTTTGCTGATGCCTTTTAGCCGAAGGGTAAAGCCCACATCTGGAACGCAACTACCCAAACTGCACCCTTCGGAAAACCGCCAGCAACTCTGGCACCGCCTGTGTAAGCTTTCCCGCATCTAGCTTCGGCTGTGCCCCCTTCTAGTTTTTGTCAAGAACCTGGTGGCATAGGCCCTACTTGACCAGCGTGGCAATGTAAAGGCAAGTCTTCATGTAGGCAAGGGAATGACAGCGAAATTTGTGCCCAGATTGTGAAAACTTCGGGCCTGGAGGACTTTATCGTGACATGGTATTGCTGGGGAAATGAACAAACATTTGCTTTAGTACTTCCTAAAAGTTTTCTTAACCTCCCAAGAAAATGTAGAAATTTGGATCTCCATAGAAGTGCTTAAGACTAGAAAAGACCAAAGAGTGTGTGGAATGAGGTTAGAAATGGAAGTAAGTTAACTCTTGCTTTGGAAGTCTTTCCTTAGTTTTAAGAAACAACGCCTGTAAAAGTATTATGTAAACTACACGTGCTCTAAAGATGTACTTACCTTTGGAGATAAGAAGCAAATGTTTTCCATGATACTGTCAGTCAAGACTTAAAGTAGAATATGAATTTAGAAAAAGGTCTCCTGTTGTATGCTTGAAGTCCTGGTGTGGCACTGTAGAATAAGCACTGGATTGCGAACGGCAAGGTTGGTGGTTCAAACCCACCAGCCACTCCTTATAAACCCTAAATGGGGTTGCTATGAGTCACAACCAACTTGATGGCATTAACAATTGTATACTTAATAGGAGTGAATGAAAATCTTACCTTTACGGAATATAACAGGTGTAATTGTTAATTGCCGTAGAGATGGCTCCAACTCATGGTGGTCCTCTAACAGAACTAAGTATTGCTCAGCCCTGTGCAATCCTCCTACTTAAAGGCATAATTGTTAGATGCCATGAGCTGCCCCACTTTAGAGATCTCATGTGTTAAACAGCATAGAATTATTCCATAGTTTTATGGACTGTGAGCATTACAAAAGCAGATTGCAATGAAAGGAAATGCGGATAGGTCTGTTGTGATACAGTAGTAAATCACTGTTATCAGGACCCACCCACTGTGAGGTTTAGAAATGTAAAGCTAGACGTTTTGTAGCAAGGAGGGGAGTGATTAACTTTTCAGTCTAGAAGAGGAGTTCTGGACCCTACCCAGATAAGCAGTGAAGCCAGAGATGGAGGCAGAGAGAAGGTGGAGAGATGGAGCAGCTGGGGACTTTAGACCCAGAGAGAGAGAGGGGCTGTGTGCTGATGACCTGGGGGGTGGGGGTGGGGGGCAGGCTTGCAGGGTATACCCTTTGGTTGGTTGATGATGCATGGAGGGGATTGTAATCATAGCAATGAAACAAAATAGGATAGGATGAATGTAAACTAATGTTCTCCCATGTAAGCTATCACATAATTCACAATTTAAATAAAGCAGATTGCCAGGCCATTTCTAATGTGGGGCCACTGGGTGGGTTTGAACTACCAACTCTTCTGTTAGCAGCTGATTGGGCCCTACTGCTCTTTTCAAATGTAGAAGGAATGTGCCAATTGCACTAGTCTTAAAAAACAAACCCCAATGTCTGCCATCAAAATCCGTTGACTCACAGAGACCCTGTAGGACAGAGTAGAACTGCTGCTTAGGTTTTCTGACTATACATCTTTACGAGAGCAGACAGCTTCATCTTTCTTCCAGAGTAGATGGTGGATTTGAACTGTCAACCTTGTGGTTAGCAGTCCAGTGCTTACCCCACAGTGGTCTCAAGGCACCCCACTGTAGTCTTAGGTGCCAAGTCAGTCCCAATTCATAGCAACCCTGTATAGGGGTTTCTGAGGATTGGCTAATGGGTTTGAATTACCGACCTGGTGGTTAGCAGCCCAGTGCTTACCCTAGTTTCACCAGCACCACCCAAATTATGACTTTGATAAGTGTCATCGAGTTGGTTCCTACTTACTGGGACTCAGTATAGGGTTTCCAAGGAGCGGCTGGCTGGTGGTTTTGAACTGCCAACCTTGTGGTTAGCAGCCCAGTGTTTGTCTTAAGCAGCACCACACCAGGACTCTGAAATTATTATCTATTAAGTAAAGAGCTCTGGTAGTGTAGTGATTACAAATCCGGTTTCTAATCTGACAGTCAGTAGATCGAAACTACCAGCCCATTTCCTCAGGAGGCTTTTTGCTCCTGTAAGCCTCGGAAACCCTATATAGGGTTGCTATGAGTCAGAACGGACTCCACGGCACATGACCAACAACCACCACTAAGTAAAGGAACCCAAATAAGGATTTAGTCTCAGAAACCCTATATAGGGTCTCTATGAGATGGAATTGACTCCTTGGAAGTGGGAAGCTGTTATGGCATGGACCTCCCCCCGCCTCAGCTAAGCATTTTGAAGAGGAAATGTTACGTTTTCCTTCACTGTTATCTTACTCAGTTTTGACTAAACCCTGCATCTTCCGAAGCTTTCCCAAATGGATTTAAATCCAGTGGAAGGCCATTCAACCCTACCCACTCAGCGACCCCCTCAGGAGACCGGCCTCACCCTGTTTCTAAAAGGTTACAGCCTTGAAGCCCCTGCGGAACAACATAGGATGCCATGAGTCAAAAATTATTTCAGTGCGATTGAAGCAATTGTAAAAGCTCAACATGTATGATGCTTTCTGAGAATTTAAGTGCGCCTGTATTTTGCCAGTAATTGTTCTGTGCATTAGAAGAAACTGAGAGGAAGCTAGGCAAGGTGAACTTATAAGGGCTAGGATGGGGTGGCGGTGTTGGAACAGTTCGCCCACTAAAAATATCTTTTCACAAGCAAGGGGAGGTACTTATGAATGTGCTGGTAGGTAAAATCCAGAAATGCTTTTTTCTTCAGGTTTTCCCAGAATCCGACTGAAGAAATTTCCATTTCCCAACCCATTTACTGATATCTGGACACCATCAGGAACTTGTATAAAGAAAAGCAAAGTTATAATTAAAATTAAATCCTGTTTTATTCATGTGAAATATTAACACATAGTCCTAACATTACAGTCGTTATAGTTAACTTAGTAGGAGAGAAGCATCAGTGACTGTTTAGGGACTACTAATACAGATAAACAAAAAAGGGCAGAAATTGTTAAGAAGAGATTGCATTTTAAATTCCTAAGCACAATCTCTTAGAAGTCTTCTTTTGAACATTCTTTGCTGCCCTTAATATTCACCGTATAGCATGCTGATTTTGGTGGTTTTCCTCCCTGTAGAAATCAACTTTTCTTTAAACCTCCCATAAGCCGTAGAAATCAAAGTTTCTCATCTGTTTCAAAGGGTTTTCTTACCCATTGCCTTCCAGTATACAATTTCAAACATTCAAAATAGAATTCATGTTGCCACGAATGGGATTTTCTTGTTTTCTGATGTGCCAAACCTACACTGGGAGTGGTTTCACATTAAGAAGTGTCTTCACTGACATCATAGCAACTCGGGCTACCAAAGGAGCCCTCACCTCACATGAAGTCTAACAGACCTACTTTTTGAAGCCCAGGCATACACATCCACTAGCAACCTAAATGTACAAAAACCCAGTTGGGTAAAATATGGAGTGGCCATATCATTCAAACTGAAGCATTTCTGAAAGGGAGGGGGCACTAAAATAATTTAAGTGCTGTTGAGTCAATTCTGACTCACACCAACCCTGTATTGGGTTTCCGAAGCTGTAAATTTTGATGGGAGCACAAGCCATCTTTCTCCTGTGGAACAGTGGTGGGCTTGAATCACCAATCATCTTGTTAGTAGTCCAGTGCTTATCCTACAGAGACACAGCACTTCCACTAAAATAACTATAGTTAACTGTCACTGAGTCAGTTCCAATTCATGGCAACCTTATATAGGATTTCCGAGGCTGTCAATCTGTGAGCAGAAAACCTCATCTTTGTTTCACAGAGTGGCTGGAGGACTCAAACCTCTGACCTATGGTTTGCATCCAATGCTTATCCTACAGAGCCACAGCTCTTGAACTGAAATAACTGTTAAGTGCCATTGAATCAGTTCCCCATATAACACTTGCGAGGAGCTGGCTGGTGGATTTGGACCACTGACCTTGCAGTCCAGTGCTTATCCAAAGCACCACACCAGGACTCCATTAAAATAACTAGCAGGTGTTAATAGATCAATAAACTGGGACTGTTTGCAGCACTAAAGTCATTGCTGACTGCCCAAGAGGACTCAATCACAACATAATTTTGGAAAATTCCATGTTTTATGGTAGTTTGTATGCCAGCCTGTCCTGGTATCAGAACCCCTCTCACCATGTGGTCTTCTGGGTTTTTATGTTCTCCTTACCCATTACAAGATCTGAATGGCTTACTGCAGGGCCCCCAGTGGTTATATATAAGGCAGTGAACTTACTGTGGATCACTGCACTCCATTCCCTTCTTAATAAACACAAATGTACAAGTTATTGGACTATGGAAAGGCTTTGCGATAAAGAATCACTGCCTTAGAAAACAGAACCACAGATGTGGATTTAAAAATTGAGGTTAAATTTTACTCCTTCACAGAAGGCCATGTAGGAGGCGGCTTCAAAAAGTTCATGGAAAAATGTAAAAAAGATAATGGAATTTTCCCATGAACTTAAAGCCCCCTCATACTGATTTTAAAATGAGAAAACTGACTTTTTCAATAGGAAGTGAAACGGGCAATAATCTAACTTTAATAAACTTGTAAGCCCAACACATTTTGTACTATAGATGGCAAAGTGTATGTAGTCTGCATGAACTAAGGCTATTATTTTGCTTTTAAGATTGTTTTAGTTTCAGAACAAAATACCTGTCAGTGGAATCTCGACAAAAAAAGAAGCAATCATAGAATGACGATTGCCCTTTTGTTTTTACTCATCTAACACTTTGTTGTTGTTGTTGTTAGGTGTCATCGAGTCGGTACCGACCCATAGCAACCTTATGCACAGCAGAATGACACACTGCCCAATACTGGGCCAACCTCACTATTGTTGCCACACTTGAGTCCATCATACTGCCACTTAGAGGACTAAATAATGTAGTAATACATAAATGTACAAAAGAAAAAAATTTGCTTTATAACTTAAGACAACCATTAGCTTCCACGTAACTGGCTTTTTTTAATCTTCAAGATATGCCAGAAGAGACTGATGGGTTATATTTGGTATAAGCATCTGGTGTTAACCACACACATCAGCCTATGGGATAGGCTCATCAATGTTTCTCAAGAAGCAGTTTTTTGTTTCCTAAACCACAGACCACTGCTTTGACATGTTTTGCTTTTGTAAAATTTAGGTCTTCTGAAAGGTAACTATATAAAGTAGATGTTCAAACACTTGTGTTATGCGGTTTTCACCCTGGGTTCAAACATCATCATAAAGGAATTCCTTTGAACTTCCTTTTGTAATCATGTATCCTTTATTAATATCACTATGAGAGAACTTCAACAAGAATATAGAAAAACGGAATGAAAAGGTCATGGAACTTTCCCAGGAAGTTTTTGAAGCCCCCTCACAGATGAACATTTGTTCATTCATTTAATAAGTAATAGTTGAATGTTTACTATGTGAACGGCACTCACCCCATGACTTGGCATACCTCATTCATGTACAAAGAATCATTAAAACCATTTGAAATCCAAGTACCCAAATAACTTTGAAAAAGGGCAGGTTGTTAAATGTTGTCAAGTCAGTTCCAACTCAGAGACTCAGAGGGTTTTCAAGGAGCAGCTGGTGGGTTTGAACCACCAATCTTGAATCACACTCTCTACATTAAACAGTGGTAATATCCACCTCAAAGAACAGTTAAAGCATCATAACAGAAAAAGTGAAACCCTTAGCCTAGAAACAGGTGTACTGTAGAAAAAACAAGCTGCCTTTATTATCTATATGAAAACAGGCAGGGGCTACTTTATTTATTTACCCTTAGTTTAAAACAAAATAGAACTTTGATCACCCTACTCCTTTTTTCATACCCTGAAGACACTTTAATTAGCATATTTAACTTCATCATTTATTCTTCTGATGTCTTGATACTCTTTCTTATAACCCATCATTTTCTGACAATAACATATTATAGGATATTCTCTAACAGCAGACTTACTGTACCAGTACCTTCAATTTAATTTCTGATATAAAAAGGAAGACCAAAATATTTCCTGACTGGACAGATACATTTTTAATCTGCTCACCTGACAACAGAAAGAAATGGCCCTATTAATTTAGGATAGCAAATAATTCACACCTGTAACATATAGTGTATAACTATGAAAAGCAAACAATGCCCCTTTCTAAAAGTGGCTCCCTTTTCTTTACTGAACGTTACCCTTAGATATCACAATTTTGCATACACAGTGAAAAAAAAAAAAAAAAGCCCAAGCCCTAAAACAGCTATAAACAATTTGCCTGTGGATTTGAAAAGCTTCACAAAAGTCATCAGTATGAAGAGAAGAATCCTTTAAACTGAGGAAAACCCTTCAGAATTCAACCCCAAGTTGGAGTATTAAAAACATGAAATGTTTATTTAGTATAGAGAAGTTAATTTAAGTTTACTGTGAGTGATCATGTACAACAGAGGATTTGCTTGGCAATTTTCCACTTATAAAATGCACTACGTATTTTTGTTTAGGCACAATCAGCAGGCACCTGAAACAATTCAGATTTATTATGGGATAATTGCCAATGCTTACTTCTGTGACAATGTTATGAAAAGAACTCTGAGCCCAAATGAAGCAGTTTCACCTACAGATGGAAGAAAATGGCCCTAGGGCAGTAGTTTGAAAAGGCAGTACAACTAACATAAAGAAAGAAGGGCCCTGACTAGTTGGTGACAAGAACAAGAATTAAAAGTGTTCAAAGAGAAATTTGTCTCCTAAATCTCACCTTTCTTCGTTATCTATATTCTTGATTTCATGGCACCTAGCTGCTGATCCTTCATGTAGTTCCCAAATGCTTATAATGTCTTCACCGAAGTTCTCATTAAAATGACATTTACAGTTACCTCTTAAATACCATTTTATAATGACCAAAAAAGGCTGTTTTATCAGTACCAATGAATTCCAACACATCTGAGTTATTCTGGGATTTACCTTTTCAGCAAATTTCAAGTTTTATATTTAAGTAAGATCAGATTACTGCAAATAAAACCCCATACTAGCTCAGGATCTCGTGACCAATGATTCTAAAAAGCAAGATAAATTCCTCTATTTAGACAGGAAATAGACCACATCAGTTAAACAGACTTTTAATTCACTCATGGAGACACCTGAAATTGCTAGCAAAAGTTCCCAGCATATCCTACTCTTACTAACTTGGGAGACAACTTTGTGTGCATTTTATTTTTTTCCATTCTAGTTGGTTTATAAAACAAAACGGAAATTTTTTAAACTACTCAATAGGAGGTACATAACTTAAAACATCCTATATAAATGTTATCAGTAATTTACAACTTAAAAAAAAACTCAACCACAAAAAAAAAAGTCAAAGCTAAAAACAAGATTTTTACTATGAATCAGTGCTTCCATTACCCTTCTGAAAGAAGTTATATTTTAATGTGATGTAAAGGCAACATTGAGTTTTTCTTTAAATTAACCACCTAATTTATCCCTAAAATTACAAAGAATCAAAGTCTCTTACAGCTTGAGTGCAGCAAACTAAAATGTTCTTTCAGCACAAAGCAGCACTAGAAAAAGTTAACAGTTATAGATGGGAGCGGGCTAGTTTTGCTGTGGCTGCTCCATCAATAACAGACGGACATTAGACGGCATCCATCCCAGGGCACAATTCAACTACAGACTAGAATGCGTCACACTCTTGGCCGTTAAGTGTCCTTTTGTCTTTTGAATATTTTTAGTTTGAACGAAGTGGATTTTTAAAAAGTTTTAATCAGGTCACATAAGTTGGATGCTTAAATAACATCATGATGAGGTATGAAAACTCTGAATTTCCCTAAGATTCAGCAGGATTTCCCAGAGATGTATAATTACTTGTCAGGGGCAACTTCCAAATAGTTCATACTTTGGGGTTATGATGAATTCTAAACGAGGACAAGTCTAGAAAGCTTTAAAGGGTATGCTCTCAAGCAGAAGTGAGCAATTTTTCCTTCAGAATTCATTTTGAACAGCACATACATCAAGAAAAAATCTTCTTTGACGGTGTGTCCCAACATTGAGTCAAGATGGCCAGCTAGCACCGAGAAGTCCTACTGAACTCAGTTGCAGTTCTCTTGGCAATTAAGCTTATTTTTCATTCCATTCCAAACACAAATGTGGATCACCGAACACAGTACTGGAAGCGCCATTTGCAGGTATAGATTGCAGTCATCACTAAATCAGCCAGAAGATGGAGACTGTTGTTATTTTATTGGGAAGAAGGGGGCAGTTCTAGTGGGAAATGAAATAAAATGAGAGGAAATGTGGCTATAAGAAGAAGATCAGTCTCCTTATTTGGGTTAAGAGGTCATACTGAGAAGATGGTTACTAGTTTGAGATGCTACATTAAAGGGATCATATATGTAGCATTAACTACATTAGAATCAAGCTGCACTTGGCTAAGAAAAATAACTTTAAAAGTGTTTATTATCCCGCATTCATAGAAGGAAAAGCACCTGGGGTGAACTCCAATTAATGAGGACCTTGATCAGGACCATAAAGCCTGAAACATTTGTTTAATGCAGAAACACAGCCTCTAGTCACACTGGCTGAGTTTAGGGAGACTGGAGTTTTTGTTTTAAACTTCTCAACTGAATTACAGGATATAGTTTTGATTACTAAGGATTTTAAATCTTCATCCCAGCATTAGAATGGAACCACTTCTAAATCCTAAGACACATAAGACCAAAGAGAAGCAACAGCAATACATATTAATATGTGCCCCACTCTTTTCTGCTCTAGAGGAATCTGCAAACCAGTATCATATTAAAGAGTCAAAGTGTTAATTCTTCAGCATTCCTGACAACTAGAAAGCACATTCACTGAAGGCTGAAGGTGAGGGAGTCGATGGTTTAGTTATCTGTGAAGAATGGCGCCAATAGAAGAAAAAAAATCATTCCATTCTCAGAGGGTAATGCAAATTTGGCTAGAAAAAGCCACCAGGTGATCCACGGGTTCACTGTGGAAGAACTCATGAAAAGTACTCTGAAGTAAACACAACAGGTCTAAACATCTCCTTTGTTGCAAGTTATTGTGTGAAATTCAAGGTAAAGGCTGTGTCTCATCTTTTATTGTCAGTATTTTTCCCACTTTTAAGGGAATGAGGAGTCCTCTCTTTTCCCCCACAAAAAAAGGGAACCACATTAATACACGAATATATTCCCAAGACTCTTATATAAGTGCAGATCTCCAAAGCCTAGGGATTTTCCATAAGAGAGTGGGCCGTCCTGGTTACCCTTGTATTAGAAGGCTTTCCACCACAGAGAGCCAGAGGTTTTCCAGATGTGTGTAAGAGAGCAGGTGCGCAAGGCAAGCAAATGAGCGCAAACAGTATTATGGAAAACATTTGAGAAGTTAGCTCCATGAGGACTGTGGGCTCCACAAAAGGACTTGACTGGGTAGCCTGGTCTGACACAGGAATACGGAAGCAGAGTATTGCTTCAAAGCTGGAAACCTTCCATAGGAGCCTCACACTGCTGGAAGATGTACTGCTGCTGATTAAGGTCAACCTGGGGTGCAATGCTGCTGTCCTCATCTTCAGTCCCGAAGTAATGCTCAATGAGATCAAAGGCCTTCTGGTAGATCTCCTGGTTTTCATGACTCTGTAAGAACTCAATTTTATCCAGGCCTAGAATGAAAAATAAGGTATTAATCTGTTGGAAATTCCAATGAGATAATATTTTGCTATGTCTTCTTCCTTGAAGTAAAAAAATGTTCTCTAATTTTTTTTTTTTAAATAGTAACACAGAAATTATTGCTGGGACTGTACCTGAAGACTTCTATTGCAAACTGACATATTCACCATATACAAGCAATATTCAGTCCCCAGAAATAGTAGTTAGTAGTGTTCTTATTGGACGGTTGTTGTTACGTTCCAATAGATACATTATTGTTGTTAAGTGCCATCCAGTCAGTTCCAACTCATAGCAACCCTGTATAAGATTTCCAAGCAGCAGCTGGTGGGTTTGATCTACAGACTTTGTGGTTCAAACTGACCTTGCAGTCCAGCGCATTATCCTGCAGCACCACACCAGGCCTCCTACATCTATCTCTATGATTACAGATAGAGATACAGATATATGCCACCTCCCCCGTCTCCCCAATATATTCCTATATGGTAAAAACTCTATCTTACCATAAGCTTCTTCAATCAAAGCACAGTAAGGATTAATACCAGTGCCATTTCTTTTGGCTTCTTGTTCTCCAAGCCTCAGGATATTTTCCAAGCCATTTAGGGCAACCTGTACAATCTTAGAGTCCATGACTGTGAGGAGATCACAGAGCGGCTTGATACAACCCAGTTCTACAAGGTACCTAAATTAATGCAAAGAAAAATTTAGTCAAAGCCTTTAAAAAATGTTTTAACTTGTGGAGGGGAGGGGATCATCCCCAAACCAATTCTCTGTCACCATGTCCATTCCTATTTCTTGCCACAATTTTTGGACTCCAAGAAACTAGAAAACTCTCCTACTTTGAATGCAAGTAATTCATCAAAATAGTATAGTTCTGATTAATTTCCATTTTGGTGTTTTGTTAATGATGGAAAATTTAAAAATATATACAAAATTTAAAAGTACAGGCAACAAACTCCTATTCAGTTGCTGTGATTCTCAATTTTCAATTGTATTTGAGGTGTACCACTGCACACACTCCTCACCCCAGGATCGTGCTGATGTAAATGTCACTCATTTTATCTCTAAATGATGAGGATTCTTTTAAAACACACACAGATGTACATACACACATACAACGCAACCACTTTCAAAATCATTTTTACACTTGCAGACAATTATCTATAATACCAAGCATCTGGCATTATGCAAATTTCAGTGACTCAAATACCCACCACCTCTTAATCTGTCCACCATAAACTCTCAGTTTTGTTTTGCAATTTACACGTGGCAACAAGCTGGTTTTATCCTATAGTTTGGATTTTGAATGGTGTCATTTAACATAATTTTCTGTCACTTGAATTTCCTAATAATTGGTAGACAAAGTCAGAGAGTTCATCATATTTGAATCAGTTTTGGAAAGACTGCTTCACAACAGTGTTCCGTTATTTTCTCGCAGTAGCAAAATGAGAATATTCTAATCCTAACATTTCTTAGGATCACCTGAAATACTTCTGAAAATAAAAATTCCACTTCACTAATTATATGGTTATCACCTAGATTTATCTTATATAAAAGGGCAAAATAAATCTGGATTCTTTCCCCTTTTATTTATCAGTTTTCAAAAGAAACCTCAACAAGCTCCAAAGATAACCAACATTTTTTTTGTTTTATAACTGCCTTTTAAAATAAGGTACTACAGGCAAGTGTTCCATGTTTAATTAAATTTGTCTTTAAAAGTATTTTCTGAACGTGAACTTCACATTTAGTTTTCATTAACTAAAATCAGATTAAGTATTAACCCTCCCTCCCAAAAGAAGTCTAAACAAAAAGAGAAAGGAGTCAATAGGAAAAATAAGTTTAGTTTTCATACCCAGTAGTGAAGAATTTTATTTTACTTCGAGTTTAAACTCTTAAATCTATTATAAACATTTAATGTCACAAATTTGCTTTCTCTATACCACCATCTGAAGGTCTGCTAGGCTCATAAAAAACACAACCTCAATGTCATACTGAAAGTATGATTTTATCTTTCTATTTAGTAGTAGGTTCCTCTGACATCTCTGGGCTACAACGTAACAGGTAGCCAACTGCTGATAACAAGTGTCTGCTGGAACTATAAAAAGTTGCCTGAAAATATTAAACAAGTATTAGCTAAAGGTCAAGTTGTTGTATGTATATACCTTAACTTTCCTATAAATGCCTGAGGATCTCAAAACTGTCGTTTGGAAAACTGTTACCTTACACTAGCCATCAAGGCTAACTGACCAATCTAACAGAAAGACACTGCCAGTTAACGTTTTTTGGGTAAAGAAGTTTAGTCTCTAAGAATGCATTATCTGGGAAGTCACTGAGTCAATTTTCTGAAATTATATTAATGTCTCAAGCTTGAAAAGGCTGATCTGACAAGATAATTTTATACCTAGGAGACCCATTGAGAAAGTTAAGAAGAAACTGCACAGAGACTGATAATCAACTTCATCATTATAAATAGCTATGCTCAATAGTAAAAAGAGGCAGTAATTCTACTATTCACTAACAGAGTTTCTGATTTAAGACACCACAGTATTTTAGAGTGTTGAAGAGCAAAAATGTCAGTTTGAGGACTCAGGTGCACCTGACCCAAGCCATAGTTATTTTCAATAACCTCATATGCATGTGAAAGCTGGACAGTGAATAAGGAAGACCATACAAGAATTGGATGTTTTTGAGTTATAGTGTTGGAGGAGAATTTTGAAAGTGCCATGGGCTGCAAAAAGAACCAGTAGATTCGTTTTAGAAGAAATACAGCCAGAGTGCTCCTTGGAGGCCAAGATGGCCAAACTTCATCTATCATACTTCGGACATGTTGTCAGGAGGGATCAGCTGCTGGAGAAGGATATCATGTTTGCTAAGGTGCAGGGTCAGAGGAAAAGAGTTAGACCCCCAACAAGATGGACTGGCCAAGTGGCAGCATGTATGGACTCAAGCGTGGCAACAGTAGTGAGGTTGGCTCAGGATCCGGCAGTGTTTCGTTCTGCTGGGCATAAGGTCACTATGAGTCCATACTAACTTGATGGCACCTAACAACAACAAGTATTTTAGAAATATTTTTTTGAAATTTTTAAGAAGGTGAAACTTCAGAACCAAAAGTATGTGTTATTGTTGTTAAGTACCATGGAGTAGATTCTGACTCAAAGTGACCCTACACAGGGTTTCCGAGGCTGTAAATCTTTATGGGAGCAGAAAGCCTCATCTTTCTCCTGCGGAATGGCTGGTAATTTCGAACTGCAGACCTTGAGGTTTGCAGCCAATTTGTAACCACTATGCTACCAGAGCTACTTATAAGTATGTGTAGTTCATATCAATTTTTAAAATATATGATAGTAAATTTAAGGGCCAATAGTAATTATATATCTGAATGTGAACACAAACTTAAAAATAATGAAAGTATAATGATTATTACTTAAGACCACTGCCACAGGTGGAAACATACTTAGAATCACACACCAAATCAAACGAAACCCATTGCTATCAAATCCATTTCGGTTCACAGGGAGCCTATAGAAGCTCCCGTATATTCCTTAGAGAGCCTCTGTTTTGATTAGACCTTGCTCTCGGGATCATATTGGTAAATCCAGACTCATCACCTGATTATTATTAATTTCATAAAATCATCTTAAAGACTGTTGAGCAGAACAATGATTTTGGCACTCATCCCGTTGCAAGCTTACTGACACCAAGGTGTTCACTTAAAATGAGAATGCCCAACCATGTGAGATCCCAACTTTAGAAGCTACAGCATTAATGGTAATTCTATAGTTTTCTTCCAACAGTTTCTGGTCTTCAACCAGTTCCTGCATTCATCAAGGATGACAGTCTTTAAACTTGTTGCAACATCTCAGTGATTTAACATGTCCATCTGAGCTTTGCTGAAATTGTGTTATCAGCCCTGACCTCAAAGGTATTTTTTTTCACAGCACAGAAAGTATTTGATTTTTCTAACACCCTAATAACATTAACATGTATTACTAAAAGAATATATCTGTAGTAGTGTTTACTGATCAGAGACATGTTTAAAAACATCTAGTTTGGAATAAACCTCATGCATGTATAAACTGAAATACTAGTAGCAATACTTTTTGACTTACCCTCATATATCATATTCCTATGGGAAACGGATTCCTGTTTAAATTTATGTCTTTTCTAGGAATTAAAATTTAAAAGCTGCTGGCAAGGGGGCCTCTAAAGTTTCAAGCCAATACATACCTCTCCTTAACTGAATACCATGGGACTTGCCCACTACTTGTCTGTCATTTTTTTGTACTGTGATGGCTTGTGTGTTTCTGTGATGCTGGAAGCTATGCCACCGGTACTTTAAATATCAGCAGGGTATACTATGTTGGACAGGTCAGCGGAGTTTCTAGACTAATAAGACAAACAAGGAAGGAGGAAGGGTGTACTACTTCTGTATGTTTGTTGTTGCTTGTTGTTAAAAGTGCCACGGAGTCTGTTTCAATTCATAGCGACCCTGTATAAGGTTTCAAGGAGTGGCTGGTGGGTTTGAACCACTGATTTTGCAGTTAACAGCCCAGTGCTTATCCTACAGCACCACAGGAGTCCTGTGGCACACTGTCAGATAGCACCAGAACACTGTCAGATAATAGTGGCAGAAGATGAGCCAAAGTACAACTGGGGAAAAGTTGCCACCTCAAAGTATAGTTAACCATGATAATATGAATGGAGTAGAACTTTCAGGACCTTCACTTGCTGATGGGGCACAACTAAAATTGAGGAGAAACAGCTGCAAACATCCACTGAAAATAGCAACAAGACATGTAAATAGCAACGAGGAATGTATAAAGTATGAATCTAGGAAAATTGGAAGTTTTCAAAAATGAAACGGAATGCATAAGCAGTAATATCCTAGGCATTAGTGAGTGAAAGTGGGCTGTTATTGACCATTTTAAATCTGACAATCTATGGTTACTATGCCAGGAATGACAAATTGAAGAGGAATGGCATCCATTCATTCTGTAAAACAACATTCAAGATCTATCTTGAATCATAATGCTGTCTGTGATAGGTAGGATAAGATCCACTTGCCTATAAGGACATCATGCTTGGTACAGTGGAGGGTCAGAGAAAAAGAGGAAGACCTCCTCCCCCAACAAGATGGATTGGTACAGTGGCGGCACCAATGGGCACAAGCAATAAAATGATTCTGAGTCAGGATGGCGCACAACTGGGTAGTGTTTTGTCCTGTTGTGCATAAGGTGGCTATGGGAAGTAACCAATTCAAGGGCAACTACAACAGCAACACAGCATTTGCTACACTGAATTTGGTACTGTATTCTAAGACATACCACTGTTTTTTTGTGTGTGTCTGGTTCAATTCTATTACTAAGACATCGAAACCAGAAATAGAGTTAGTTATTACAGTGAAAACATAAGGATTCCATAAGTAGCTTTGTAAAATACCTAGATGTTTCTGAACGAAAAGATCTAGAGTAGAATTTCCATGGCCTCAAACCTCAACTATGCCTTAGTTCTTACAAAAGTAAATACTTTTTAATCTGAGTCAAATTATGAAATGGAGAAAACATCTTCTAGAAGGCTAGATTGAATCTTTTTATTTATAAGATCCTGTCTCACTCATCTCATCTGCAAATGGAGTTGATATTTCATTCTATGTAATATTTGGGGTAAGAGGGGGGCATTTGTATAAGGTATAGTTGAAACACCACCTGGTTAGTACTTACTTGATCTGTTCAGCCGATCCTCCAGACGTTGCATTTGTGATGGCCCAAGCGGCTTCTTTCCTTGTCCGAAACTCAGCAGTTTGTAATATACTAATGAGGGCTGGGAAAATGTTGGCACCTATAACAGTCTGAAATTAAAGTAAAATTTAAATGGTTTAAATTTTTTTACAAGGTTTGTAAAAACTGTTTGTGATACTAACTATAACTTTCAGCATAGCTTCACGAATGACACCTTTGCCCATTTAAAATAAAAAAAAAGTTCTCATTATCCCTAAATTGTTTGGTTCTACCTTTATACCACCCTCCCTAGAGTTAGTGACCTTGTAAAGAAAATTTAGTTCCCAAAGGTTTGTGAAAAACTGAAGCCATCTAAAAGAGGTTCATTGGAAAATACATATTTTACTTGGCAAGAACAAAGCCAAATTGTAAGTTCAGAAAAACATTTTAAAAATAAAAGACACTATTACTTGGATCTTAGCATACGATCAAATGTTAGCAGCAAAGGGGGAAACCTAAGAGCAACATTACATATTAAAAGACCGGTAAGTTTTTTTAAAAAGTAAGAAGTAGACTATAAAACAAGACAACAACCTTGAAAATTAGGGGTCTTCAAGCAACAGTGGAAAAAATGCTTTAAAGATTTATAATCCATAGAATAGTAAAAAAAAAATTATATTACTGAAAAAATTTTATTTATCAATAAAATATATAAGGGCTATATATACCATTACCTGTATCTGTGCCCTATTTCCAGCTGTGATATTAGATATTGTCCAACATGCTTCTTTCTTGATAGATTCCTTTGGGCTACTCAGCAAATGCAATAAACTTTGCAGAGCTGAGCAATTCAAAATTACCTGAAAAAGATAAGAATTTTGCTCTGGTAGCGTAGTGGTTACGAATCGGGCTGCGAACCTTAAGGTCAGCGGTTTGAAACTACCAGCCGCTCCGCGGGAGAAAGATGAGGCTTTCTACTCCCGTAAAGATTTACACCCTTGGAAACCCTGCACAGGGTCGCTATGGGTCGGACCCGACTCGATGGCACTTAACAACAACAACAACAACACTGATCCAAATATAAACAAGCTTGTTAGAAAAAAATTTAGGCAAAGCAATAATTTAAAACCTCTACTTGAAGTTTTAAAAAAAAACAAAATATTACATGTAGAAAAGAGGGTTTGCTGCTATAAAGAGTAAGTTTCTAATATTATCAAACTAATTTCATTTTACTGTTAAGACTGTACTTTATAAAGCGCAATAAAGAATGTTAGTAAATAGAAAAGAATTACTTTATCAATGTCTTTTGGATAGATAAATCTATCTAAGGGTCAGAAAATCAAAACTGGTCTGAGATTTTAACTCTTCACCTGGCAACAATAAATCAACATATACTTAGGAAGTACTTTCCAAATGTTTAATGAAATACACCAGGTATTTTGTAAGATTGCTGTTGTTGTCGGGTACAGTTGTGTTGGTTCAGACTCATAGTGTCTTTATGCTATGAGAACAAAACACTGCCTGGTCCTGCATGCACCATCCCCACAACAATTGCTACATTTGAACCAACTGTTGCTGCCACTGTGTCAATCCATTTCACTGAGAATCTTCACTAATCCTTCACTTTACCAAGCATGATGCCCTTCTCCAGAGACAGTTCCCTTCTGATTGAAGAAACGAAGTCTCACCACCCTGGCTTTTAAGAATCATTCTGATTGCACCTCTACCAACACAAATCTGTTTTTCTTCTGGCAACCCATGATAGTTTTACTATTCTTCTCCAATACCACAATTCAAATGCATCGATTCTTCTGTGCACTGCCTTAGTCACTGTCCAACTTTCACATGCATATGGTGGTGTGCTGTTGAGTCGGTTCCAACTCACAGCAACCCTGTACATGGTTCCTGAGGCTGTAAATCTTTACGGGAGCAAAAAGCCTTATCTTTCTCCTGCGGAACAGCAGGTAGTTTTGAACTGCTGACCTTGAGGTTAGCAGCCCAATTTGTAATCTCTATGCTACCAAGAGCTCCTTGAAGCTACTAAAAATATCATGACTTTGGTCAGTTGTACTTTAGTCCTCAAACTGATTATTTTTGTTGTTGAATACTTTAAAGAAGTCTTGTGCAGCAGATCTGAATAATACAACACGTCCTTTGATGTCTAGACTGCTGATTCCATTGAGTGTTGATTGCGGGTCCAAGCAAAATAAGTCTTTGACAACTTCAATCTTTTCTCCATTTATCATAATGTTATTTATTGGTCCAGTGGTGAGAGTTTTTGTTTTCTTTACATTAAGGTACAATTCATACTGACAGCTACAGTCTTTGATCTTCATCACTAAGTATTTTATGTCTTCATTTTCAGCAAGCAAGGTTGTGTCATATTATTATCACAGGTTGTTAATGAGTCTTCCTCCAACCTTGATGCCATGCCCTTCCTTTACATAATTCAGCTTACAGAATGAATAAAGTACGGTGAATAACCCTGGAATGTACGCCTTTCCTTATTTTAAACCATTCAGTATTCCCTTGTTCTTTTCTAACAATTGTCTCTCGGTCTATGTACAATGTTCACATTGTCTATAGCTTGTCATGATCTATAGAATTGAAAACCTTTGCGTAGTCAATAAAGCACAGGTAAACAAACATCTTTCTGGTATTCTCTGCTTTCAGCCAAGATGCATCTGATGTCAGCAGTGATATCCTTTGCTCCGTGTCCTTATCTGAATCTGGCTTGAACCTATGACAGTTCCCTGTCAATGTGTTGTTACAGCCATTTAAAAATTATCTTAAGCAAAATTTTACTTGTAGGTGATATTAATTATTTTGTTTTATGATTTCCGTATTCTTTTGGGTCATGGAATGGGCACAAATATCTCTCTCTTCCAGTCAGTTGGCCTGGTAGTTGTCTTCCAAATTTCTTGCCATAAATGAAATAGAGCCTCCAGTGCTGCATCAGTTTATTAAAATATTTCAATTTGTATTCTGTCAATTCCTGGAGCTTTGTTTTTCACCAATGCCTTCAGTGCAACTTGGACTTCTTCCCTCAGTACCAATGGCTCTTGATTATATGCTACATCTTGACCATTTCCTTTTGGTACAGTGATTCTGTATATTCCCTCCCATCTTCTTTTGATACCTCCTGCATCATTCAACATTTTGCCTGTGGAATCCTTCACTATTGCAAGTTGAGGCTTGAATTTTTTCTTTATTTCTTTCAACTTAAGAAATGCTAAGCGTGTACTTCCTTTTTGGTTTTCTAACTCCAAGTCTTTGCACAGTTCTTTATAATACCTGACTTTGTCTTCTCAAGCTATCCTTTGAAAATTTGTTAAGCCCCTTTACCTCCTCGTTTCTTCCATTCACTCTAGCTTCTCTATGCCCAAGAGCAACATTTATAGTCTCTTCTGACATCTGTTTTGGTCTTGTCTTTGTTTCTTGTCTTTTCAATGACCTTTTGTTTTCTTTCTGTATGATGTTCTTGATGTCATTCCACAGCTCTTCTGGTTTTCAGTCATTAGTGTCTAATGCATCAAACCTGCTCTCTAAATTTAGATGCTCTCTAAATCTAGATGATCTCTAAATTCAGGTGGGATATGTTCAAGGTTATACTTTGGCTCTTGTGGACGTATTTTTATTTTCCTCAGCTTTTGCCTGAACTTGCATATCAGCAATTGATGGTCGTTTCCACAGTTTGCCCATGGCCTGGTTTGGGCTAATGATGTGGTAGGGTTTATCCACTATCTCTTCCCACAGATGTAGTCAATTTGATTCCTGTGTATTCTATTTGGTAAGGTCCACGTGTATAGTCACTTTTCATATTGTTCAAAAAAGGTATATACAGTGAAGAAATCATTGGTCTTGCAAAGTTCTATCATGCAATTGCCAGCATCATTTCTATCACCAAGGCCATATTTCTAACTACTGATCCTTTCTTTAATTCCAGCCTTTGCATTCCAATTACCAGTAATTATCAATGTATCTTGATTGCATGTTCGATCAATTTTAGACTGAAGAAGTAGGTATAATTCATTGTCTTCACATTTGGCCTTGTCACTGTTGTGTACATTTGAATGTTGGTGGTATTAAGTGGTCTTCCTTGTGCAGGCGTATGGATATCATCCTATCACAGCACAGCACTGATTCTGAAATGCTTTTTTCTGACGATTAATATTCCTCCTTCACTTGTCGCTCTAAGCATAGTAAACCATTACAGTCATGATTTGAAATAGCCATTATCAGTCCATTTCAGCTTACTAGTGACTAGTATACTGATCTTTATGTATTCCATTTCATTTTGACAACATTTAATTTTCCTAGATTCATACTTTGTATATTCCATGGATGTTTGCAGCTGTTTCTCTTAATTCTGAAATGAAGGTTCTGAAAGCTTTAATCCATTCACATCATTATGGTAAACTCTACTTTAAGAAGGCACCGCTTCCTAAGTCTTATTTTTTGTGTCATACAATCTGAGGGGCTCATCTTCCAACACTGTATCTGAAAATGTTCCACTATTCTTCATAAGGATTTCATTGGTTAAAAGTTCACAAGTAGTATGCCTCACCTTCTTCCTAGTCTGGAAACTTCACTGAAACCTGTCCACTATAGGTAATGTTGCTGGTATTTCAAATTCCAGTGGCATAACTTCCAACATCACAGCAACACACAAGTCAACCAAAGAAAGACAAATTTAAGATGAATGGTGGGTTTGTTAGGATAGAAAGATAAAAAGGATAGGATCCCAGTTTACACAAATAAGAGATAAAAGGCAAATACACTTAGAAGATACCTACTCTATTAGAAAATAAAACCACAAAGTTCCAATGATAAAAACATATGGTGGACTCAAAAGTCTATCAGTACAAAAAGAACACGTCTGTTCTAGAAAAAACTATGCTGCTGTTTTTAAGTGCTGTCTAGTCAGTTCCCACTCATAGCAAACCTATTTAGAGTTTCCGAGGAGTGGCTGGTAGGTTGTAACTGCCAACACTGTGGTTCACACTGACCTTGGGGTGCAGTGCTAATCCTACAGTGCCAGACCAGGAGTCCAGAAACATCTAGAGGAATTTATAAAAATTTGTTTTCAACTAGATAACCCAACCATCAGACACTGGAAAAAGAAAGGATTTCTTTTTATCACGTAATTTATTTATTTTTAACAAATGCCTACAGTTGTTTCTATTTGAACAGTGAATAATGAAGACTGTATAAGAATTAATGCATTTGAGTTATGGTATTGGAGGAGAATATTAAAAGCACCATGGACTGCCAAAAGAACAAACAGACCTGTGTTGGAAGTACAGCCAGAGTGCTCCTTAGATGCAAGGATGGCCAGACTTTGTCTTTCATATTCAGACATATTGTCAAGAGTGACCACTCACTGGTAAATGATACCATGTTTGGTAAAATGGAGGGTAAGAGAAAAGAGGAACACATCCTAACGAGACGAATTAGCACAGTGATGGCAGCGATGGGCTCAGGCATAACGACGACTGTGAGGTTGGCCCAGGACCAGGCAGTGGTCCTTCTGTTGTGCATAGGGTTGCTATGAATAGATACCAACTCGATGGCACCTAACAACAACAGTTGCTTCACAGAAGTCCTGGTTTGGTGTTATAGGGTAAGGTCAGTTTGAACCACAAGGTTAGCAATTCAAATTTGCCAGCCACTCCTTGAAAACCAACTCAACAGCCCTTAACAACAGCAACAAAGCTGTTTCTATAGGCATTTATATTTAAAAAATAAGTGTATGATAAAAGTAAATTCTTTCTTCTTCCAATGACTGATGGCTGGGTAATCTAGTTGAAACTCATTTTGTAAAATTAAGTTTTCATCTCAGTCCCTAAAATAAATTTTCAAGTGATTTAAAAAGTAGTTTTAAAAAAAATAAACCACAAGGCTTAGAAGATAATGTAACAGCTGATCTAAAAATGATGAACGTGCCAAGCATAAAACCCAAGAAATTATACTGAGACAATTAAAATGTATCCAAATAAGTTTGTGCACATCAAAAATCTTAAGAAAATTAATGTGCATACCATGTATCTGCAAATACATCCTTACTATGAAATTTCATCTGACACTAATATTTTAATATAAAGTTACTTCATGAGCAATTAAAGGTAGGTAAATTAAAATGAAGTCATTTTTTGCGTATTAAAACAGAGAAAAGATAAGTTTAAAATGTCATTAAATAGACACAAAACACAAAGCAGACCTCCTGCCATCTAGTTGATTAAGACTCATAACGACCCTGTAAGACACATCTCCGTAGAGTGTCTGCACAGGAACCAGATTTTAAAGGATCTTCACACATTCAAAGACAACGAAACCCAAAACCAAACACCTTGCTGAGGAGCTGTTTCCAACTTATAGGGCCCCAACAATACAGAAAAGTGTTCCATAGGGTTTCCTTGGCTGAACTCTACAGAACCAGACATGTTTTTCCTAAGAGCAACTGATGGGTCGAGACTATTGATTTTTCTGTTACCAGTCAAGTGTTTAACCACTATACTATGAAGGCACCTTCAAAGGCAACAAAAAGATCAAGCATTACTCTAGTGATATGAGAATGGTAAAAGAAACAACTATGCAATAGCAGGGATGGGTACAGATGGGATAACAGGACTTATCAGTATCTTAAAAGAAAGGAGGAGGAGAGAATAGAATCAAGCTGATGACCAAATTCTGGCCTAGAGAACTGTTGGTGCCATTCACTAAGATGTTGTTGTTATGCACCGTGTAGTTCGTTCCAACTCATAGTGACCCTGTACAGGGTTTCCAAGGCTGTAAATCTTTACGGGAGCAGAAAGCCTCATCTTTCTCCCGCGGAACAGATGGTAGTTTCAAACTGCTGACCCTGAGGTTAGCAGCACGATTCGTAACCACTACGTAAGGGGGTGGGGGTAGGGGTGGGAAGCAGAGGTTCAGACATGCAAGGAAAAATAATTCTCTTCATGGCATGATTAATTTAAAGTAAATATTAAAGTTGGGAGTTTTTGTACATAAGTAGGCCTCTTACCCAGAGAAGCAGTGACACCAGAAATGAAGGGAAAGATGATGACATGGAGAGATGGAACAGCTGGGGATTCTGGACTCAGGGAGGGCAAGGGGGCTGTGTGTTGGTGCCCGGGACAGGGGGGTGGTAGGTTTGCGGGGTATAAATACCCTTTGGTTGATTCTGTGTATTCCTTCCATCTTCTCTTGATACTTTCTGCATCATTCAATAATTTGCCCAGAGAATCTTTCAAAAAAGAAAGTCAAGGCTTGAATTTTTTCTTTAGTTCCCCCAGCTTGAGAAATGCTGCGTGTGTTCTTCCTTTTTGGTGTTCTGATTCCACATCTTTGCACATTTTGTTGTAATATTTGGCTTTATCTTCTCGAGCTGATCTTTGAAATTTTGTTTAGCTCTTGGATCTCCTCATTTCTTCCATTTGCTTTAGCAACTCTATGCTGGAGAGCAAATTTCAGTGACTCTTCTGACATCCATTTTGACCTTTTCCTTCTTTCTTCTTAAATGATTTTTTGCTTTCTTCATGTATGATGTTCTTGATGTCATGCCATAACTCTCTGGTCTTAGGTCTTAAGTGTTTAATGTATCAAATCTGTTCTTCAGATGATCTCTAAATTCAGGTGGGATATATTCAAGGTCATATTTTGGCTTTCATGAACTTTTCATTTTCTTCAGCTTCAGTTTGAATTTGCATATGAGTAACTGATGGTCTGTTCCACAGTCTGCCCCGGCCTTGTTTTCACTGATGATATGGAGCTTTTCCATTGTCTCTTTCCACAGATGTAGTCAATTTGACTTTTATGTATTCCATCTAGCGAGGTCCATGTGTATAGTTGTCTCTTATGCTGTCTAAAGAAGGTATTTGAAATACACAAATCATTGCTTTTGCAGAATTCTATCATGTTCTCCAGCATCATTTCTATCACCAAGGCCAGGAATACACAGTCACTGTACCAAAAGGAATGGTTAATGTTCAACCATTTCAAGAGGTAGCATATGATCATATGATCAAGAGCCAATGATACTGAAGGAGGAAGTCCAAGGTGCATTGAAGGAATTGGCAAAGAACAAGACACCAGGAATTGATGGAATAAAAACTAAAATCTTTCAAGAAAGTTAGGCGGCAGAGGAGGCACTCACTCATCTATGCCAAGAAATTTGGAAGACAACTATCTGGCTAACTGATTGGAAGAGATCCATATTTGTGCCCATTCCAAAGAGAGGTGACCCAAAGGAATGCAGAAATGATCGGATAATCTCTTTGATATCCCCTGTGAGTGAAATTTTGCTAAAGATAATACAGAAACAGCTATAATCATACATTGACAGAGAACTTCCAGTGGTTCAAGCCAGACTCAGAAGAGGCCATAGAACGAGGGATATCATTGCTGATGTCGATGGATCTTGGCTGAAAGTAGAAAATATCAGAAAGATGTATACCTATGCTTTATTGACTACACAAAGGCTTTGGATTGTGTGGATCATGACAAGCTATGGACAACACTTAATTGTGCTCATGAAGAATATGTACCTGGACCAAGAGGCAGCTGTTCGAACAGAACATGGGAACACTGAATGGTTTAAAATTACGGAAGGTGTGCAACAAGACTGTATTCTTTCACCATACTTATTCAACCTGTATGCTGAGAAAATAATGCGAGAAAATGGGTTCTATGAAGAAAAACTTGGCATTAGGATTGGAGGAAGACTCATTAACAACCTGCAATATGCAGATGATACAACCTTGCTTGCTGTAAGTGAAGAGGACTTACAACATTTACTGATGAAGATCAAGGAGCACAGCCTTCGGTATGGATTACATCTCAATGTAAAGAAAACAAAAATCCTCACCACTAGACCAATAAGCAACATTCTTATCAACAGAGAAAAGATTGAAGTTGTCAAGGACTTCATTCTTATTGGATCAACTATCAACATTCACAGAAGCAGCAGTCAAGAAATCAAACGATGTACTGCATTAGGCAAATCTGCTGCACAAGACCTTTTTAAAGTGTTAAAGAGCAAAGACGTCAACTTGAGGACTAAGGTGCGCCTGACCCAAGCCATGGTATTTTCAATAACTTCATATGCATGTGAAAGCTGGACAGTCAATAAGGAAGACAGTACAAGAATTGATGCTTTTGAGTTATGGTGTTGGAGAAGAATAATGAAAGTGCCATGAGCTGCCAAAAGAACCAACAGATCCATTTTGGAAGAAGTGCAACCAGAGTGCTCCTTAGAAGCCAAGATGGCCAAACTTCGCCTCTCATATTTTGGACATATTGTTAGAAGGGACCAGTCGCTGGAGAAGGATGTCATATTTGATAGGGTGGAGAGTCACAGAAAAAGAGGAAGACCCCTAATGAGATGGATTGTCTAGCATCGATGGACTCAAGCGTGGCAACAGTAGTGAGACTGGCCCAGGATCAGGCAGTGTTTTGTTCTGCTGTGCATACGGTCGCTATGGGTCGGTACCAACTCAATGGCACCTAACAACAACAAAACCCTTTGGTTATTTGGAGATGCATGGAGGGGATTGTAATCATTGCAATAAAATGAAATAACATAGGATGAATGTAAAGCTAATGTAAACTATCACATAATTCACAATAAAAACTTAAAAAACATCTATGTGAGATCACAACAATGTTGTTGCTGTTAAGTGCTGTTATATCAGTTCCGAACCGTGGTGACCCTGTATAAGGTTTCTGAGAAGCGGATGGTGAGCTTGAACCACCAACCATGTGGTTCAAATGACTTTGCAGTCCAGCACATTATCTGTATTTACCCTAAATTAAAAATGAGAACATTAGGGAACTAAATCAATGTAAACTGAATGGAAATAATGAGAATGCTGACACAAAGTGAAAACTGTTTAACTACTGTCACTGAGCAATACATAATGTTCTAAGTGCCACTGAGTCAGTTGCAACTCATGACAACTTGGTATAGGGTTTCCAAGAAGCATCTGGTGGGTTTAAATAGTTGACCTTGTGGTTAGCAGTCAAGTGTTTACCTTACAGTGCCACACCAGGACTCCAACATATACAAAGTGATAAAAAGAAAGCTAATTTGCTATGTAAACTTTTACCAAAAACATAGTAAAATCTTCCTGTCTCCCACTTCCACCCCTCCACCTCCCCTCCCCCCCCCAAAAAAAAAGCCACACATCACAAGTAACTCCAAATTACTAAAAGCGATAGACTGAGACAGAGATACTAAGCAGAGATACTAAGGGTGGTACTGGGAGTAGTTATACAAAAGGACTTTCAAATGGACAAATGGAATTAAAAGATAATAGAATCTTAGTGACGCCTGTCAAATACGGTACCACTTTTAACAATAATGAAACAAAAAGTACATGACAATTCACCCTAACAATATATAGTTAAATATTATAATAGAAGCATGATGATAGGGTTCAATATACCATTTTTGAAGGAAAGAAATTACCATTCATACCTGTGTCTGAATATCATCCCCAGTGACAATGTTTCCCACAGCCCGCAAAGCAGGAGAGACCACTTTATAATCATTATGCCTGCAACCATAAAAAGGAATTATATTCTAACAGTTCTATCCTTAGCCTTTTTTCCTTAAAACTAGAAAAAATTAATGTGATAGGATTTTAGCAGAATAAGACCTTATGGCGTTTATTAAGGGAATCCTATCATTCTGATAATGGAGCTCTGAAGTAGCGGGTTATGCGTTAGGCTGCTAACCACATGGTCAGCAGTTCAAATCCACCAGCTACTCCATGGGAGAAAGAAGAGGCTTTCTGTTCTTATAAAGATTACAGCCTTGGAAATCCTATATAGGACTGCTATGAGCTGGAACCAATCCAATGGCACACCACCACAACCACCACCACCATTACCATTCTGATGCAATATCAGGCATGCCCTAGAAGAGCTGCCCTTCCCCTTATTCAGTATATTTTTATTTAAAACTATAAACTTTCCTAGTAATCTTTCCCAGGTGTTTCATCACCTGAATTCCAAATTTCCCCCAATCTTTTAATATAGGTTTAATTTCCTAATTACTTGGTCCTACATGGTTACTGAAATAATGGAGAACAATTGTTAACATTTCTGCAATACTTTTACATATTATATAGTTTTCACAGACATGAAAATTATACATTAACAGATCACAAAATTTGAAATGAATATAAAGTTTCATGCTTCAAATCATGAACTCTTTCTACTAACCCTCAGTTGTCTTATTGGGGGCAAAAAAAGTTTTCCGTGAAGCATTTTACATCCTTAAAGACAGATGTGACAAGTGTCTTGATTTCAGACTAAGTAGGATCATTTAACCTTTCATCATGGGTCCTTTCCCCTTTAAAGACTGATGACTCTGTTCAAAATTTTGTCAGTTCCTTCACATTTGATCTCATTAAATATATAATAATCTAGTGACTAAAGAGTACAAAGGATTACTCCCCAGAGTATGAAAGCCATACTTCTAGCTCCTACAGCATCATGCTGCATTCATTGCCATCAGCACTAAATTGCCACAGTCACTCTGTGAACACTATAATCCGAGAGTTTGGTATTTTGCATAAAATACTTCTCTAATCCACTTCACATATCATGTTGGGGGCAAGGTCTTCAAAATTTTATTTGGTTTCTTCATTACTACTTATAAATTTTATTAATTATATAATCAAAGGCATTCCAAAAACCTCTTTTTAAAGCAAACTTAGATTCAATATCTGACACCAATCTAAAACTCTAAATGAGCTATACAAGGAATAACTATTTTTTACAGGCAATATATTAGTTGTTCAGTGGGTGGGTCGATGGTCATCCAAAATGAACTAGAATTGCTTATATTATTCCAAATGTTTTTCTTGAATGATTTTTTAACAGCAGAGAAGAGTGAAGTTCTTTATAAACTTCAGTTAAAATAAAGAAGAAAAAAAAAAGATTTGGACATGAAAACAAATAAATATACAGGAAAAGATAGCAGTCCAAAACACAACAAGTAGAAAACTAATATAATGCTAAAAGAGCAGACCACCCTCCTTAAAGATCTCTTACATAAGTAGCTCCACAAGTCTCCTGCACACTCCTGCATCAATGACTGCTTGAATTTTATCATTGGGCCCATCTGACAAATAAGAGAGGGCCCAGCAGGCATCAGCCAATACATCGGTGTCATTGACAAACAGCAACCAGGAAAGCACATTCAGACAGGGGGAAACCTGTAAGAGAAAAATGACATGTTTTAAGAAAAACAAACAGCATAGAAGCTAAAAGTAAGGGAAGATGGTCAAGAAGGCAGCAACCAGACATATACTTGGTAGCTTATGGGGTAATTAACACTTCTAGAAACCAGGTAGCAAGTGGCTAAGTGGCATTTTCATCTTTGGAAATGTCAGTGACCTCTCAACAGTTTGGTTTAATGAGATAGTCAGAACATGCAAACACATCTCAGGAAGAAAAATTTCAAAAACACCAATTCTCAGAGTGGGATTTCTCTGTAATCAAAGAGATATAAATCAAAGAACTTATACAAGTGCGAGAGTCAGAAAATTCTGTATTTTATTTATACTATTTTTAAATGACAGCTTTTAAGATCAATTGAGGGCTTTATATACAGTGAAATATCCCAAATTAAAACAAAACCAAAGAACTTAAATTTCTCCAGAAACAGATAAAATTCTCTAATTTTAAATTTTATCAAAAGTCATTTCTTTCTGTTCACATCAAAACTGGTTGTACAGAGAACAAACAAGATGGCGGATTGGGTCGAACTGTAGCAAAGAGATCCAACAACAACAACACAGAATACCCAACTAAGCAGCCTAAGGGGATGGTCCCAGAACTCTGAACCACATATAAAGGAATATATAGAAGGTTGGAAGGCTTACAGCTGGGGGATTTTGTGGCAGAAGCAAGAAATCCATTGCTTTCTAGTCCGGGACGCTCAGGTGCTCCAGGAGCCACCATCTTGGGTGAGAACAAGCGGAGGAAGGATCGGAGCTGCCACAGACGCCTGGCAGAATCGCTGAGATAAAGGTATGGACGTTCTTTTCTTTTGGTAGCTGTTCATTGGTCCCTTGATGTCTGAGCACCTCCATTCTGGTGACTTTATGGGTGCCTGAGCTAGTGGACACCCCAGCCCCACCCTCGGAGGGTTCTACTACGCATGCGCACCGATCTCCTCAAAATTTAAAGAGACAGTTTCCAATTAAAACCAAACGGCCACAGCCGGCCCTGAACTGTTTCCAACTAGAAAAAAGGCCTGGAGCAGGACAAGCAGAAAAAGAGGAAATTGGCCAAAAATGAAATCCTACGTTATGTCAAAACGACCAACAGTGGTATCTTGAAATTTCTCATGAAGAAGAGTGTAAAGGAAAGCCCATTTCCTGATCACATCTACCTGGAGGCATTCAAAAAGCATAAAAAATATCAAAATACATACCCATCTAAGTATTAAGTCCACAGAGAACCCCTGAAGATGCCCAAAAAACAGAAGCAGATGACCATATCTGCACATGTCCAGAAACAAGATAAAGTGACTGAGACAAATGAGCTGGAAGTATACCTACACTCCATACTGGAAGATGGGCAGGCTTTGGAAATGCCTGAGAAGGAATTCAGAAAAATGTTTATAAAATGTATCAAAATACTATACAATGGAGTTGAGAAAAATAAGGAAGAAGTTAGGAAAGCACTACAGGAACAATCAAATAAGATAGATAGAGCACTGAAAACAATTCAAAACCTACAGGAAGAGGTCCAAACTATCAATAATAGAATATCAGAAATGGACAATATACTAAAAGGGCAAAGTAGTAGAATTGAAGAGATAGCAGCCAGAACTAGTGAGCTAGAAGATAAATCTCTCAACACTACTAAGATAGAAGAACAAACACAAAAATCAATAAAAAAAAATCTGAAGACAGCCTAAGATTCATGTTGGA